GTTCGAGGCCCAAACGATATCCAAATTGAGATCCGTAAACTCCTACGCGCTCGTGACAACGTAAGGATCATTCTAGGATAAAATGTGGCCTCTGCCGGACTGCCCACGCGCCGCCCCACGCGCTGCCGCGCGTGGGTGGCTTAATCACAATTCCGGTGACCGGAAAAACTTAGTATTTTGGCTCCAAACTCCTAACCTAGGTAATACACCTAATTTGGAACCACTTTTCTTCTTGGGTGAAGGCCAGAAAATGGCCGGAAGTGGCCGGAAATTTCGACTGAAAATCGGCTGTAGCTAAACTTCGAAATTTAACTTGTAAACTCTCAAAATTTCTGGAAACCTAACCAACAGGCAGCTAGAGCACGAAAAATAGATGAAATTTCATACCTCACTCGTCCAATTTGGTTGAGAAACGAAGGAGAACGAAGGTGTTGAAGTTCCACGATTTTCCGGCCTGTTTTCTGCGATTTCCGGCGGCTGTCGACGACTCCAGGTGCGGTGCTGGCCGGGGAAGAGAGAGGAGGAGGTGGCGGTTCGATCGAGTCCGGTCTCGTGCGCTGCCGTGGCCGGTGGCCTGAGTTGCAGAGGGAGGAAGGGAGAGCGACGGGGTCGGGGAGAGAGAGAGACTCACGGGAGAGAGAGAGAAATGAGAGAAATAATCAGATTTTCTGATTTTAACAAAATTCAATTCTGAAAATTTCCAATCAAGCCCTTAATGGTTTTTCGACCATAACTTCTTCGTTTCAAATCCGAATCGAGCCTACCGCGTGTCTACGGACTCGGCTCAGTACCACCTTTCTAAAAACACCACATGCTGCCCCAAACTCTCTCCGGATAAAAATTGACCTTTTTGCCCCCACTTCGAAGGCAAAATTGGAAATTCCAAATTTTAATTAAATTAAAACCAAACTTAATAATATTTTGGGTCGGGATGTTACAGTGGACCAAAATGATAATGAGGCAATAATTTGGGGACCATTTAAGTCATTAACTTGCACAATAGTTTTGTACCCAAACTGAAGCCCATATCCCATAGGATACACCCCTTGTACATCCTTTCTCTCAAAAACATGTGAAGATCACTCTCACCCAAGAGAAGTTCTCTCTCTTGAATTCTCCAAGAATTATACACTCTTGATGCACACCCAACTCCTTAGTAAATGAACACTCACACTCACTTTTTTTTTTTTTTTTTTTTTTTTTTGCCATCACTCTCACTCACACTCACACTTGACTTGATGCTTTGATGCCTCATTTGATTCCCAAATGAGAATAGACCTCCATTTATGTAGTCATAGAAGAAGGCTAATAAACCAAGCACATTCAATTGATGCACATACAATGGATGCATGCACACCATGGAAAAACACCACATGCATTAAAAACTTATGGAAAAGCTCAAAGGCCCTCCACTAAGGAGGGACACTGCTCTGAATTCTCATGCAAAAAGTGAGTGATAGCCTAATTTCACAATAAAAGGAAGCAACTAGAGCGGTCTCTTGGCCAAATTAATCTATCTTCATCAGTTTGATTGCCCACATTGGTAGCTTCAGTTACCTTAGTTGCTATGGTGATATTTGATGACAAATGCTTTCTAAGTTCCATTTGTTGGTACTTGGTAAGAGAGAGAGAGAGAGGAGGGTAGTGCGAGGGTGAGGGAGAGAGTATTTTTCTTCCATTTTTAATTAATTAATGTTATAAATTTTTATTATTTATTTTGTCATTCCACGTGGCAGAATACGAGCGAGTCCGATGAGTCCATTAATTGTTATGTCACCATTTGACAAAGAGATCAAAATAACAAAGGTATGAAGTGGTAGGAAAATGAAAAGGGTTATTTACTCAAATGGTCATCAAATTTATACTTGAGTTGCATTTTGGCCCCTCAACTAAATTATTCATTCAAATGGTCCACCAACTCTTTATTAATCAGTGCATTAGTCCTACCGTTACATTTTTTGTTAAATTTAGTCATGTGAGCAACACATGCTACATTTGTGGGGTAAATAAGACTTTTGACAACTAAAAAATAAAAATATATGACAAAAAGTAACCCTAAAAAAAAACCGGCTCACTCAACCCCACCCCATTCTCATCCTCCTCCACTCCAATCCCAACCCCCATCTCATCGTGGGTTTGCAATAGCCTCTCGGCACCCCACACACTCTCTCTCTCCAAACAAACCCTTGCAGCCCAAATAAATGTTTGAAGAGAGAAATAGAGGGAGAGAGGAGGGACATGGAGAAGATAGGCTGAGCTGTGGGGAGAAGAAGATGGGGCGATGGTTATCAAGCTGGGGGCTGGGAGAGGGAGATAGGTTTTTATTTCTTTTGATTTTTAGTTTTTAATTTACTTACAATTTTATTTAATTGGACTGTTTTACCCTTATATTTCACGTCAATATTAACAGAATGTAACGATTAATAAAAAATTGGTGGACCATTTAAACGAATTTAGTTAAAGGATCAAAATACAACTCAAGTATAAGTTTGAGAACCATTTGAGTATATAACCCAAATCACAATGTAAGTTCTAAGTTGACATGAAAAATCCTTGAAATAGGAATGGCTGTTAAATTGTTTCTTTCTAAAATTTTAAAAGTAATAGTAATAACTGTTTAACATTTGGGGCCTCCGAATGACATTTTCTATGCCAAATATGTTATAAGTACCAAAAACTGATACTCTAGACTACGCACAATTATGAACACTCTATACCGGGTTTTGCAGAGTTTAATTTTCCATTACAAAACATGCGCGATAGACTTCATTCAATGATACAGAAGCCAAAGAAAGCAAACAGTATTCAGAGAAAAATATATCCACCTCACAACCCAATCCCCAAGTCAATTCATAACTAAAAAATTAGACACCGGGATAGTTCCAGCAACATACAGAACTCAGCAATGACATGAAACTGGCCAAACCAATCCTACACATCCAATCTCATATATGAAAAACAAAAGAAAAAAATATATATATAGAAAGATGAAATCAGCAGGAAATTTGAAGCAGAATGTTTCAGGGACGCAGAAATTCCAACAGAAGGAAACTTCAAGGCTCCGGAGCTTGTGGTGGTGGCAGCTTCAGAAGTGGTTGAAGAGCCTTGACAACAATGCTCATGTTTGGCCGGAATTCAGCTTCATATTGCACACACAATGCTGCCACAGCTGCCAGCTGTATCAACAAAACGAAAATCACATTCTCAGTTGCTAAATCTATAATTGGAAACAAAAGACCGTAAGCACACCAATATTAAACAAAAAAATTCTGTGAATGGTGGACAGGTGGTTGTGGAGAGAGAGAGAGAGAGACCTTTGCGACTCCTTTAGCAGGATAATCTCCCTTTAGCTTTGGATCTACACATTGCTTAACTTTGTCTTCACTCAATCTTGGAGTAGCCTGAGAAAAAGCAGGGTATATGTCAGGTCAAACTAAATGAAGCAGAAGACTGGTAGTAGAACAGAAAAGAAAATGTTATTCTAAAAAAAGTAAGCATATAGACTCACCCAAGTAACAAGACTCTGCTGTCCACGTGGCATTGTATGATCGACAGGTTTCCTCCCAGTCAGAAGTTCTAGAAGAACCACACCAAAGCTGTACACATCACTCTTCTGTGTCAATTGACCAGTCATTGCATACCTGCAGAACATTTTTGCAAATTCAAATTAACTGTGATCCATATCCATTTACACTCCTCAATGACCAATGGAGGTGCATATACATTAAAGAAATGTTTTCAAACAATTCCACTCAGCGTTCAGTGATCAGACTAGTTGACATCATAAATGAAAAAAATGCAATTCCAGTGACTCCTGATGCAAATGACTACTTGAGTGATGCCTTTTGTAGGTCCACATAAATTCATACAATCCTTATCATCAAAGTTTAACTGAACTATATCTCAATAATAACATGATCCATTGAGAAGCAATTATCATCTAGACCCGCCACAATTCCAGTCCAATACCATCCTATTCTAAATAAAAACTACTTCATCTTATAAAAGACAAATTGAATTTGATGGTCAAAAGAAATGCAAATAGTGTTTCACAATGAATCCCAAGATAAATGCACTTTGCCACTTAATTCCTATCAACAAGTAAGCACCAAAGACGGTGAAGTAAATGATACAAAGACATTTCGAACTAAGAGATCTCATTCCAGCTGGATGCATCAAATAGCCTAGTAGACAGGTCATAGCAAACTTTTATTTACACGAGGAGGAGGAGGGGGAGGGAGGGAGTGAAACTTGAAAGCCAACAACCCAAAGTGTTTACAAAATACATGACAATAAGTTAATAAACACATATATGTAGTTTTAAGAGACATACTCTGGGGCATGATAGCCAAACGTTCCCAAAACTCGAGTGGAATGAAGACGAGCAGCCATATCAGGAGCCTGATTTGAGAGATTAAAATCTGCAATCTTGGCTTTAAAATCTTCAAAGAGAAGCACATTACTAGATCTTATATCTCTGTGTATAATAGCAGGTTGAACCTTCTCATGCAAGTATTCCAATCCCCTAGCCGCATCAACTGCAATTCTCACCCGCTGCAACCAGTCTAGTGTGGGACCTGGTTGAGCCCCTTGAACTCCCTTTCTACCTGTAATTGCACTCACATTCAACTTAATGGGTTCTAGTTTCTACAAGGAAATTTCAAATAAAGTGAATCTGAATTGTAATTAAAAAGACAAGATGTTTTACAAACCATGTAATATGTCGTGTAGAGATCCCATGGTCGCAAACTCATAAGCAAGCACGCGCAAACTTCCGTCCACACAGTAACCAAGCAACTCAACAAGATTTTCGTGCTTCAATCTCGAAACCATGGAAACCTTAAATGAAATATGTCAAGATGCAGTCAGATACAATAAGAAACCACTAGTCACATATCATATACCAAATTGTGATACAATTATATTTCAAGAAAGAGAGTTGCAGACAGACCTGGGTCAAAAACTCGCCATTTGACTCGGGCTCGGATGCAACGTCAAGCTTCTTCACGGCCACAGCTTTACCATCATTCAAGCTTGCATAATATACTCTTCCGTATGATCCTTCACCAATCAATGACTTAGATCCGAAATTGTCAGTCTTCTCTTTCAGCTCCTCCAAAGACAATGGAGGCACTTCAATAGGTGGTGGGGCCTTCTGTACATCAGATTTTACAGGAGCTGACACCTTATTGCCCTTTTGGTTCCCTAAACATACAAAAAATAGATGGCCAAAATAATCCTATGTTATAACCGGAAGACATTTCCATTAAATTGTTCCAGTACTTCGTTAGCAACCTCAAAAACCAATTAAACTATTGAATTTATTTCATATTTGTAATAACACTAAATTTTTTCATACAAATTGATTTTATAAAAAACCAACTTATAATGAAACATTAATAACTCCTGAAAATTTCGTTAACAAAATTAGTTAAATAAGCTTGTCAGATGAGCAAAAATCAACACATAAACACACATGAATGCTCACACATGCAGACACTTGTTCAATAGGTGATCTTTAACAGCATTAAATTTACAGGTTTCATTTGCCTGCATATGTTCAAAGCCGAAAACCATAGACCAAACTTTGCTATTTGGAGTCAAGAATTAAAACTTAATGTTCAGAAACTGCTGACAGAGATATGTATTGTGGTTGAAATCCATGATGTGGCAAAGGTCATGTAATAAACATGGCAATGGAATATTGAACACCGTTTTCATCAAATGGTGGTTGCCAGTTTGGCATAATGTTGGCACTTGTATTGTGGGGGCAGTAGTAAATTTTGAAAATGATAGCTCAAGGATTTAACTTGAACTCAAAATTTAGAAATGTAACCATGATTCTAGAATCACTAGAAACTTCAAGAACTAACACATTAGGCTACTAAAGTGATTTCTTTTTTTCAATTACAGGAAACTCTTCACAATTCTAAAGAAAAGTCAGAAAATTGTACCATCTGCATAATGCTTTGGGCTCTTCAGGCGTTCATTTTCGTTTGATGGATAAGACTCTTCGACGTGACAAGTACAACAGAGCCACTTGCGCATCCTGACTTTCTTCCTCAAATATAAATCGTCTTCGGTATTTGTATTCTCCAACCGTACAAAGTAACCAGGGGGAGGGGCATGTGCCTGCATTGTGCCATAATTTGATCGGATTCAACATCATCACATAATAAGTAATTTCTAAAACGAACAAAAGTCCTGATAATTAAAACATTTCTGTCTAGTGATGGCATCCTAGCAAAGCAAAAGAGGGGAGATCACATCCCCTGAAAAAAAGATTAAAAAGCAGTTTCAGCCATCTTAGGTTTTTCTTATGGCTTTCACTCGGGATCCTAAAACACAAGTCAATCCAACAGCCGTCACGGAAATATATTTGTGCTTATTTTTTTATAGGAGGCAATCATATAGTCTATGAAGGCACAATTAATGCTTTCAGAAAAATCCAAGACAAATTCAAGTCAACCCAACAGCCGTAATGGAAATATATATATTTTTTAATAGGATGCAATCATATAATCTATGAAGGCACAATTAATGCTTTCAAAAATATCCAAGAGAAATACAAGCAAATGAAACATTCAGTCAGCACTGTCTTTTTTGGTAATCCAGTCAGCACTGTCATAGATTTATATGATTGCCAAACAAAGCATTGCACATAAACTAAATTTATTCATATAATTTGTAATTCATAACATAATTTAGAATACTTTTTTCTATTTCTTCCAATTCAGTGAGCCTGGTCTCAACAATAAAAAAAGATGGAATCAGATTCATCTTAATTACATACTAACCAATATAATTTCGCATATATATACCTCTACTAAACATCATTAATAAAAGAGACATTATTCTTACCACTAAACCACGGCGACGGCAGTTAGCACCCTCCATTAAGATTAAACACAAATGCAAATTCACAATTATACCAAAACCAATCAATTGCAGGACAAAAGCAAGAAACCCAGAAACGAGTTGATCCCAATTCTTCAAGTTAACCAAACAATCTCAGAATTAACAAGCGAAGGAAACCCCCAATTCAATTTAAGAATAATTACAAAAAAGAATAAATCAGAGAAAGGGAAATGGGTTGAGTTCTGAGATTCGGGGAAACAAGAGAGAAATGGGAACAGGTCAAATAGGGGATGAGAATTGGGTCGTAAAAGCAAAGCCAGCCAGATCGAAAAACCGTATTTACAGGCTATGCAACACAACATAAACAGAAAATTAACAATATAAGGATGAAAACGACTACCTCTGTTTCTCTTTCTGTCTCTGTTTCTCTCTCTTCTTCTTCGCTTCTCTCTCTCTCTCTTTTAGGGTTTGTGAGGTGAAGGGACAGGTAGGATTTGAAAGGGCTTAGGCTGTTGCTTTTTGGGAGGTGAGAGAAAGCTGAGAGGTTGGGTTTGTTTGTTGTTTGGGAGAGATAAAAAAAAAAGCAGAGAAAGAAAGAAAGAAAGACAGAGAGGCAACGCGGAGTGGCCGACTGGTGAAGGCAAATCAACAAATGCCCAGATGGACAGATAGATATACCCCTCTAATTCCTTCCCATTTATTTATTTATGGAAAATGTCCACTTTCTCTCTCTACAAGTTTGTTTGTCTTGTTTTCTCTCTCTAAAACCATCAAATTTTTCTATTTATTATTTATTATTTTTTTTACCATTTTCGATACATACAATTTGCAAATGTCTCTCGTTTTTTTGGACGAATACAAAATGTCTCTCTTGTTCTTTCTTGCTTTTCACAACTCTAAACTATTTCCTTTATTGGAACTATAAGTTTGATCTTATTTTCTCCTTCTAAACAAACATATGTTATGTTATGTTTTTTTTAATCAGTATGTTATGTTATGTTATTATTCTATTTATTGTTTGGAGTATTTTCTTTCTAATAAAGGGAAAGGATTGGTGGTGGGAAGAAGGAGAAGGAAAGTGAGATAATTTGGTGACTTGGTATCAGTTTTTGGGTATTTTATACTTTTCTGAGTCTTGGTCTTATTTTATTTCATTATGTTTCTTTTATTTATTTATCAAAGATAAACTTCAATATTATAATCAAAGACACCAACATGACATCAAAAGTACTAATCCTAAGAGGGCAACAAATTAAAACAAAATAAAACTAAAAGCTCATATCACCACAATTAACCATAAACTCAAACAAAGCCCACATATCCAACATAACCAAACCCTAAAGCAACCTATGAGCCTAAATGAACCCTAGCACCAACACATGAAGAAGCACCATTGTGGCCATACCCACCACTGCATTCGTAACAGATTTGGGGAAAATATAGTTTCCAGCGATCTATATGCGCATAAAAGCAAACAAATAAAAGAAAACAACTGCCTTGACAAATAACAATTGAGTGATTTGCAGTAACCTCCGTCGAAGACGATGTAGACCCAAATTTAGAGAACATAAGCAATGTTAAAGAGCGGTTTTTTCATTATGTTTCACATGTGTTGGTGTAAGAGAAAAACTTAACCAAAATGTATTGTGTGATATTACAAATGTCTCATTTTCTCTCTCTAAAAAATTTACCATTTTTTATACATACAATTTGTGTCTTTCTTGTATTCTTGCTTTTTCAAAACTACGTTTGGTCTTATTTTTTCCACTCCTTTCATGTACATTTTGTTGTTGTAATAAACGAAATAAAAACTGAAATAGAAAATAAAATATAAGTATCCTCCTAAACAAAGTTTCAAAGGGATGAGAGAGAAAAGCGTATAATGGACAATAAGTACCTTTTTTTTTTTTTTTGGCTTTTCACTTTTTAACATTCTAAATAGATTTTTTTTTTTTGGTTATGGGACCATGTTTTTAGGGTAGTCGCGAGTGATTGTTTTGACCCGTAAGTGATGAAATAGTAAGAGCATCTCCAACAACCTCTTTAACAACTTTGGAATGCTAAAATAAGTTAGCCACATCATCACAACTCTCTCCAACAGCCTTGGATTGCTAAAATAAGTGAACCACATCATCAAAACCTACCTTTAAAATGTAAAAAACATGCACTTTTTCTTTTCAGATAATAAACACATAGACATTCTTGACATGCTTTTATATTTTTCATTATTTTCCGTAATATTACATTAATTTAATTGAAGATTCTATTGGGGCATAAATTATTAAAGTAGCAAATACGCCTTTCAAATTACCACATAGATCAACAAAATTTAATTTAAAGAGCTTAATGTACTTGATTGCGACAAAAAGTTTATTGATAAAATTGAAATTACATAGAGCCAACCAAATATAGACAAAGTGTGTCATTTCACCAAAGAAAAGAAAAAGACTAAGGAAAAGAACGATTTCATTCTTTTCTCCCTCTCCTATTTCTTTGAAATTTGAAAATCAAAATAATAGTTGTTGATTAATCAAAATAATAGTTCATTTCTTTTCTGGTCCCCTTCCCTTTTACGATCACGAAAAGGTATCATTGGACTTCTTCTTTATTTTTTGTGTGACAAAAGATATATGATCATACATTTAGAACTATAAATTCTTTAAAATTTGAAAATCAAGTGTATAACAAGCACCCAAATTTCTTAGAGAAAAAGAAAGAATCAAAACATTAAGGGCACTTACAATCCTTTAAAACAATGACATTTTGATTCATAGCCACTATGGTGCACTTCATCTGTTGTATTCCTCTGATGAGATATACAGACCTGGCCAAAGGGGATCTGAAATGCATTAGTCTGAATAGGTTATTGCAGTAGATTTGGATGAAAGAAATTGGCTGCATCATCCTCTCGGGACGATCAAACCAAATTTTGCAGTCCACAATCCCCCCAGTAAAACAGCCTGCAAACTGAAAAGAAATATAAAAAAATTTGCTTCAAAAGAAAAATGCAATTGTATGGTTGAGACTAATCGGAAGAACTAACCTTCTCATAGAGAAGTAATTAAGAAGCACACATATTACTTCTCCAGAGCTTGTTTTCTCATTGTGGTAAACCAATGCTGCTCCCTTTAGAGTTTAGACATGCTGCATGAACTACGCGCGGCGGTTGATTGTAGAGACTAGAGAAGAGAAAGAATGGTTTTTGAAGGCACTATGAGCACTTCATTGGATGACTGGTGCAAATGCCAATTACTAAGAGACATTCAGGATTCCACATGCCTGCAGCTGTACTGGTGATAATAGTACGGTACCCATGAGCATAAGTCCATTTCAGCACTCTCCTACACATTTGTCAACATTTCATGGCAAATCAAATCCAATTTGATGTTTGAAAATAAATGAATAAACAAAAGAAACCCACGAGGGTTTGGGGATTAGCATAGAGATTTCAAAAATGATGCCTTGCTAACTTCTTATAAATACCAGTAACGCTATACTTGTTACTAAACAAGATTTTTCGTGAGGGCACTTTTTTAATTAACTCCGTCAAGGCTATCAGTTCACATGAAGGGGTTCCCGTACAACCACAACTACACCTCTAAATTCTGAAATCTGAAGGTGTAAAGTTAAAACACATAAAACCTCATCTTTGTGTTGTTAACACTAAACTTTATTTGTAGCATTGCATCTATGAATAAAATAAGTAGAACCTTCCATAAACTATAATTTTCCAAATCTGCAAAAGTTTTAAATATGGTTCTTGTTCTGCAATATGGTAGAAAGATAAGTACTAAGATCATTTATGTTTTGAACACATTTGTTACCAGCTACTCCATTGAAGAATGAAGATAGCAAACACATGAACCCATGTCTGTATGTATCAATAATATATATGTATGTGCGCATGTAGGAATTTTACAGATACTTACATTCACAGTTCGCATTTGATGCAAATCCGCAAGAGCTTTTTGCCTCAACTCCCAAGGAAGAACAAAAAGATTTTAGTGAATAATTAAAGGAGCATAGGACCTTTATATCGCTCCATGAAAAACAACATTAAGGCTTAGACAATTAAATTCATAAAACAGAAGACCAATGCATAGACAAATCTTGATTACAAATTCAAGAGGCTTCCAGATGTAAAACTGAAATCACGCACAGATGTATACCTGCCTACTACTGTTTGCACAACATATTCTAGAAAAATTGTAATAAAACTCCAGCCAGTATTGAAATCAATTGTCAAGAATTATGCTTTCAGAAAACTAGGATCTTCATTGATCATTGCCCAGATATAAAGACATGATTGAAAAAGAGTTCACTGAAATAAATAAAAAAAAACATAGCCAGGGTGTACTATAACAATATGAAAGAAATGCATGAATTCGAAGCATAGCAGAACAAACAGAGAGGAAAATTTGAAAAGAGAAATGTGAATACCAGCTGATTGCTTGCCCAACATTCAAATCAGTAGAACAAGAAGAAAAGGAAAGAAAGCTCTTTTTAATTACACATTTTCTTGTTTTGAAACTCTCTCATTCTCTTTATTAAGTAATGAAAAAAAAGAAAGTTCATTTATTAGGTTACCTGGTGCATCGAGATGAAGACTAGAAATTCCTAAAACAAAGTTCATAGTCAATTTATGACCAAACAGCAAAGCAGATGCTATGCCTGTGAAGATAGTGGCCACTGTGGACGAGTACTTCTTTAGAATCGTATCTGAAAATATTGAATAACTTCTTCAATGAAGAGTGGCGAGAAAAATGAAATTTAACAAAAAAGTGATGGTTAATGAAAGCAGAAGCTGAATAAAAGAATCTCGCTCTCATTCCCAGTAGCAATCTCCATATTACAGCAACGTGTCCATACACAAATTGGCATGACACCTACACCTGAAGTTGCAATTGTAGAAAACTAACAAGCATATTTGAAGAAAAAAGAGGTCAGAATTCCTTGTGCTGCATTGTTAGCTATCAGAAACATTGTAGCTCTTGAATGACCATGAAGGATATCAAAGCTACTTGGACCTGAAACATTCATACAACGTGAGGTTAGACTCGAAACACCCATTTATAATGATAAATTTCCCAAGTTTCCACCATAAAATACTACAGTGCAAAAGCGCAATGAAGAAGTTTATCTGTGAAATGGCCCTCTTATACCATTCAACTATATTAAACAATAATTGTATTCCAAAACTATATTGATCGGGAAAATACAACTAACAATATGACTTCGTTGAATGAGTACAAATGCTACTAGAGTCAATAAATTTGAATCTGACCATTGAATATTGCTTTCAGTTAGTTCTCAGTAGTTGGAGGTAACAGTGATAGCATTTTTTGTTCTTTGTGAGGAATGGAACGTATAGTGAACTGGAGTCTACAAATTATCTTAATGTTCTCTAATTAGGGTTTAAATGCATACTGTCCCCTTGGAAGGAAATTTGTCGAATAAAAACCCCCAAAGTGGTGGCGTTTGTTGAGAAGACTAAGTGGATAATTTTATTCAGAGATGTAAATAGATGATATACGTGTAAGGAAACATACAAAAGCGAAGTTCATTTTTATCTCAGAAAAGCCCTTTAGATTGGAAAAGGTGAGGAGTTGTCTTCTGTGTTTGGGGTTAATTGTTTCTTCCAGGTGCCAAGATCAGTTACTGCTTTGATCTCAGGATGACAC